GTTAAATTCCGGTGCAGTTCTACTTCAGAGCAGTCAAGGGAGATATGATTTATAACTCATGCTGTAACCTTGTAGAAAACCTGTCACACAATCTGCTTCAGTTTAGCATTGCTGCCGTGTAACAGAAGTGTGTGTGTGTGTGTGTGTGTGTTTATACATACATCACATCCTCTCCATTTACCTGCAGGTCAAGCTGTCCCTCAAGAGTCACCATGACAGGTTTGGATAGACCAACATTGCCAGGGGGTTCTTTAGCAGTTGTGACAACAGTTTATAAATAAATAATCCTATTGAATAAATATTAGTGTTATAGTTTGTTCCATCTCCTGTCACGGCTGTATGGACAGCTTCAGTTTGAATTTCAGCCGGTTCATCAGGAAACTGCATAAACTGCTCTCAGTGGATGGCCCTGTATGCCACGTATTGTCCAAATATTCTTCCATTGAAAAAAATCAAAGAAACTGGGTGGAAACCTGTCAGCCGAATCAGTGGCTGCATCCAGTCAGATGCAGGCATTGTTCAGGTAATTTGACAGCTGGCAGACCTGACTGTCGAAATAAAGTAGCCACAGTGGGAAATCTGTCAGATTCTTTTATCCATAGGTGTAGGGCGTATCTATAGGTGTATTCATTTACATATACAGTTGTCAGAAGACAACATTTTTCATGTAATAGGGCAAAGCACTTCCTGCAAAAAACAATGGCTACCATTGAGTTGCTCTAGATCAGGCTGGTGTTTTCCGGGCTGCATGTGACCCTCTTAATCCTTCCCTCAGCTAGTTGTCAGGAAATGTTTAATAGCCCCTATTTCTGGGGAAAATATTATTTGCAATTATTAAAGAAAACAGAGAAAAGAATGGGCCTACCAAGCCTCAGTAATGAGTCGGGAGTCACCTGCCTATTACAGTGGTAGCCAAACTTCAGCATATCAGCTGTTGTGGAACTACAAGTCCCATTAGGCAAGACTCTGACGGCTGCAGGCATGACTTCCTGAGGCAGATGCTTGATGGGATTTGTAATCACTGCAGCTGCAGGGTCGAAGATTGCCTACCCCTGCCCTAGGGCAAAACAGTATATTTCAAAAAGGTTTACAACACCTCAGTAAAGGTGAATACCACAGCTGCAGATGTATAACAATCCTTTGCCACCTTATTATTTATTTTAAAAAAACACACCCTTGGGGGAAAAATAACAGACTACATATTTCAGGGAATGCCTTATATGTGCACTACATTTCATTTTATATGAATGACTGGCAGTAAGATCCAGATACACCTAGACCGGGTTCTGTAGGTGGTAAAGGTTATTTATATATTGGAGATGGTTAGCGTGCACTCAGAGTCCTGGGCAGCCCCTTTATTGAGTAGTTGTAAACCTTTCAGAATTATATTTGCAATTGTTCCAGTAAAACCAAATTTCTGTTAATTCACAATGTTCTATAGTGAGGGGTGGCCCTTAGCACACATAATATGGCCTCCTAAAAACTAAGGACTAGTTCACACCAGCCCCAGTGCGTTCCAGCCAGATTGGTGCCGGAACGCACTGGGGCTGATGTGAACTAGTCCTAATGCCTGCCATACTCTTTTCAGAGTTTCACAAACATCATGGATGGGGAAATATCTATGGTGGCCTATTGCAGTATGACAGCGGCGGGTGGGCCATTGTCAGAATACCTGACTGCAATCACAGTTCGGCTGATAATTTTTCACCTTACTCATTCGATTTTCAAACATTGTTGACAGGGCCACCCACATAGTGACGAACTGGCCAAAATTCTCTTCTATACGGCCATAGTTCTAGCCGACCTGTGACAATGAGACTGTCACAGGTCGGCTCAGTAGATCGGGAGGTGAGGGAAAACATACCGGGTTCCCTCACCTCGCGATCCTGTCACGGCTCTCTGCCGTGACAGGGGGAGGGGCTGACTGGCGGAACGGACGGGGGAGGGGGCGGGTACAGCTGGCTCTGTCTCTAGGTAGGCAGAGCCAGCTGTCACTCACGCAGCTGGGCGGATCCCGTCATCTACGTCGGGATCCGCTCCGGCTGCGGCGTCTCAGCATACCGCGAGCTGTAGCTCGCGGTATACTGAGCTTAGGGTGACGGGAGGACGCTAGTTTGTGTCCTCCCGTTACCCTAAGGAGAACTATGGGGAAAAACACTGACCCCATAGTTCCCCTTTAACACCTGGCACTGCTGCTCTAGAAAGATGTCAGTTTAAAATCTGGGTAATATACTTTGCACATTGGTATTGCTGTTTGTCAGGCAGCAGCATTCTGTTCCTCTGTGGAATAACATAACCACGGGCAGCTTTTTGTCCAGCTTTCGGTGCTGGGAGCAGCAGTGTGAACAGTGACATTTGGATTTGCCCTTTCACCTGTAAACATGCACCTTTCCCTGTGTATACAGTGAACCAGGACTGGACCTAATCAGATTCTGCTGTAACAGCCAACGGCGGCTACAAGTCAGAACTGCTTCTGATCCAACTCATTTCCAACCCAGTTCCTCCGTTGCCTCCAGCATTAAACTTTACACAAAATCTAAGGTACACAAAATGAAAGTGAACATGTTTCCGCTAGATTTAGCCCACCCACGCTGATGGAGGTCTGAGGAGAGAGTTTGTGTTCCTGTACACATCATACCTCACAGGGGTCATACGGGGCACCGCACCTTCACCGTCATACACGGAGCTGGCAGCACTGCAGTCTCGGGCACTTTTAGATAGAGGATCTGCTGGCAGTGGCCTCTGTGGGGGGCTGGGGATGCGTGATCCCTGCAAGGAGAGAAAAAAAGATACTGAGTAAACATAATCTGCCAAATACTTGTCTGGATTTTGCAGTGTGAAGGAGACAATAATTGATGTGTGACCTCTATTACATCCATCCTTGTAACTTTTTATGGAAACTCTTTTTCCGCTCTCATGAAATCTAAATGTCCTTGACTATACAGTAAATAAGATTACATATGTGACTGGCAAGACTAACCAAATCCATACTTAAATCCCATCTGTTAATGAAAACCTTACTACCTGATCACCCTTCAGAGGACCATAAACCGTTTTTCCCCATATTTGTTTGGATACATTTTAGATTAGTGCTAAGCAGCACTGCAGACTTTTAATCTCTTAGTGACATGAGCTTATGTTCTTGTAGTCAAATGATGATATAGTACAAAACAGGTCAGCTTTTGCAGTCCAATAATATATTGGTTAATGCTAGGAATGCACCGATACCATTTTTTCGGTAACGAGTACTGATTAATTTTTTTCTTCAGTACTCGCCGATACAGAGTACCGATACTGGTGCCGTGTGCCCCGATTATCAGGAAGTCGGACGGCACCTCATGACCAGATACCCAGCTTCCTGATTGGTCAGGAAGCCTGACAGCCTTGGCAATCAGGAAGCTGGGCAGCAGGTCATGAGGTGCCAACCGACTTTCTAATTAATCAGGAAGCAAGGCTGCCTAGCAAGAAGTGAAGCTGTCTTCCTGGCCAATCAGGAAGCTTTCCAGCAGATGGCCCACCTCCTTGATTTGCTAGGAACCTGGCTTCACTTGATGCTAGGCAGCATGGCTTCCTGATCAATCAGGAAGCCGGGAGGCAAGTCATGATGTGCCGCCCGGCTTCCTGATTGGTTAGGAAGCGACCTTCACTTGTTGGTAGACATCCTGGCTTCCTGACCAATTAGGAAGCCAGGAGGTGGGTAATTACAAGCCGCCTGGCTTCCTGATTGGTTAGGAAGCCAGGCTGCCTAGCCAATCAGGAAGCCAGGAGGCAGGTCATAACCCACCGGCTGCCTTCCTAATTTGAAAGGAAGCCGGCTTCATGCTCCCCTGGCACTGCTGGTCAGAGGGAGATCTCACTCTGACTGGAAGTTCCAGTATTGGAGCATTTGGGTGAGTACTTGCCCAAATACTCGGTATTGGTGCATGCCTAGTTGATGCAAATAAAAATGGGTCTGTTTCAGTGCCCTGATACAGTGTATACACGATCCTCAGCATGTTGTCATGCTGGTTATTTTCTTCTGCTTGTGTTACTATGATTATTGGACGAATAAACATTGCACGGTGGATTTTCTTCTTGTTAACAAAATCCTGATCTCCAAAAATGTACAACATGTCTGTGGTTGCATCCCTTCAAGTAAACTTCTGATTGGACACAATGAAATCTATGTTTAGCCAATTAGGTGATTGTGTACAATGCCAGTACATTGCAAATCTCTGCTATAGCTAAGGCCTTACATCTTGAAACAGTTCTCTTAGGGATACACTGGAAAGTAAATCTCTTTGCAGCTGAAAGATTTACCTACTCATTGGCCAGCTCCTCATTAGCAGCACATTGATTTTAGCATGGAAATCTTATCACTGTAAATGAACCCTTAACACACAGGAAATTTACATTTTAAATATCTGCTACTGTCAAAAGAGCATAAAATCTGAAATAATTAATGAAAACCTGTCACATAAAACAATTCCAAAATCTGGTTGAGATGTTTCACTTACTTACAGTCATTACAATATTTAGGAATACTTACTAATTCTTCTTAGGTCAACCTTTCTTTAAAAAATTGTCCTGCTTAAGTTTGTGAACAGACTACCCACATTTACCTCCACCCAAAAGGATTGCAAAAATGTAACTGCAATGACCCCGAAACAAAATAAAACTGAAGGTTCTGACTGTAAAGTGAATCTGAAGCATCAATGGCCAATGTGCCATCCTTAGGGGAGATGAATAAATGTCACCAGCACACCAACAGTATTGCAGTCCAAAGAGTTAGTTTATTGGAACGTCATGTCACCAAAACTAGCGCTTTTCGGGGCCACGCAATGGTAATTGCTGAGCCTGATGAAGGGGACACTGCGTTACCCCGAAAGCGCTAGTTTTGGCGACATGACGTTCCAATAAACAAACTCTTTGGAAAGCAATACTGTTGGTGTGCTGGTGACATTTATTCATCCTTATACTGTGTGACGGCGCCATCCACAGGTCACTACAAGCACACACCCCCCCATTCAACTTTGGGTTTTTCCAGTAAGGAGTGCGACAAGGTATCTCTTTGTTTATCCTTAGGGGATGTCTCACCGACTTCTAGGGCAAATTGAGATTGATAGCTTTTGAAATGTTGTACTTATGTGCTCTAGATTTTACATACAGCTCAAGTCTTATCCCATAAATACACAAAGTCCCCTCTAGGACCCTATATTTCGCTGCTTGGGATATTCTTCTTTAAGGCCAATGGTACACTAGCGATTTTGATGTTTGTGGCCAATAACCAACTTTAGATATAAAGGATGTCACCAGCACACCAAGCTGTACATTTGTTGAACACAACAGCTTGGTGTGCTGGTGACATCCTTTATATTTTCATTATTTCATGGTGCCACCGTGGTCACTGCAAGCACCCATTTGCATAAATCCGGTAAGGAGAGCAGCAAGATATACTTTTAGATATACAACCTATATTTTTTTTCAATAACCAACTTTTAGACACATTTGCTAACAACAGTACTCCCCTCCTCTTACAGCAGGGTAAAATGCTGCAGAATCTTGCTTTCCAGCGTGGGAGCATTGAAGGAGCCTCACATTGATGGTTTGGCCAGCTAGCGAGTGACATCTTAGGAGAAGGTACGTGTTCTTTGTGCCACATTCATCAGGTGGTGATAGAGAACTGTCATAGGGTATAACAGTGCAGAGGGGGAGGGTACACTAAATAGGGTACAGGTTGTGGTTGGAAGGGATAGGGCCCTGTAGGAGCACGTGGGGAGTTCAAATTAAAAGATACTTATCCGTTAAGCAGACAATTTACTGTATTACTCACTAATAAAAACACAACTTATGCCCCGAATGTCACCATTTATTGACTAATGCATTAGATATGAAATGTAATGTTTCAAAACATGATTAGATTTATTCAGCAGGCACCATACCCACTGTGCTTTGAAAGGCCTACATTCCACATCTACTGAGTTAGTCATTAAATTGTATATTTTTTTTTAGGTACAACTTAAAAAAAAAAAGTTTGTGTAGAAAAACATTATCTGGAAAAAGTAAAAACAATTTTAAGCAGAATCCCGACCTCCATCTTGCTAGCTTCCTGCGCACCTGCTCTTCAATTACCAGACAATCAAAGTCAAAACTTACAGCAGGGCATTATCCTAAACACTCTTGTTCATGTTTACAGATCTGCAAGTGCTGGGAAACAGCAGGATCAGTCACTGAAGCACAAACGCATCTCCGGCATTTAATGTACCATGTACGCAGCTCAGAAAAGTTGTTTAATGTGTTCAGCTCTCCAGGCGAACATCATACAAACAGCTACCAAAACCACAACTTCAAGAAGAAGCTCACACAGAATGGATATGGCCGACGGCGATATAAGATCAGGTACTGTTTATAGTCTATGGAAAAAACTATTATGGAATCCTGCAGAAAAGCAATAGAGCACCAATTATCCCAAACTGAAGAGCAATTATTGCTGAAATAAGCTTGCTCATACTGTGATATTCTCTTGTCTACGGTATTGTTAGATCCTTTATTATGGTAATGAAAGTGCTAACGGACACGTCTCTATTCTTAACAGGAATTTTACAACTAAAAGATTGTCACAGTTCAGCTCTGCACCACCCGTAAAGTATTGTGTGTGTTATCAGGTTTAACTTCAATTGCTGCTCATATACTGCAGTCACGGCCGGGGCTGTAATTAGGCATCATATTGCCCTTGACACTAGTGAATTATAATGTCTTTTTGTGCAGGCTCCACCCCTTTGATGACATGATTTTAAAGCCAGGAGTTAGAATACTCTGTTGGAGGAAACATGCTGTCTGCATACGCAGAACACATATTTAGCTTCACACAACACCAAATGAAAGCAGAAATGGGTGCCATTTGCTGGAGCTACAAACAGTGCTGTGCTCTCAGCAGTCACTACTCTTCTTTCTACTACAGCCATAGGTGTGCGCACAGGGTGTGCCGGGTACAACACTGCAGCAGCAGGCGCTGTGTTTTTACTCACTGAGACATTGGAGAGATCACAAAGAGCTCTCTGTAATGGCTCAGCGATACAGAGCGCAGCAACTTTGCTCACATAACACCCGCAGTCCTCTGTGCCTGGGAAGCTGCAAGGGACCGTGGCTGCAGCTTCCCAACCAATCAGAAACCCAGGCGCAGTGGCGGACCTAATAACCAAAGGGCCCCCCTCCCAAGACGGGGGGGGGGGGGGGGGGGGCGCGACCCTGTCACCTCTGCCATGCCGCCCCGGTACAGTTGATACCAATGTAAGAGGCCCCCCAGACCCCTCACATGGGTACCGACCATACCCCCCTGATGGCGGTGTTCTATCAAAGGTTGTGACTACGTTAGAATGTGTGACCGCTGACATGGTCACACGTTTTAACGTAATCCCGCCCAGTTTTTTCGGCGGTGGAATGTTAGACTGCCAATAGGTGAAGCATTCCAGCTCTTTCCCAGCTGTTCCAGGGCAGATCGGCATCGCAAATCGCAAGTGCAGGAGAACCGATCTGCCCTAAAGCCACAGGCACCGGTGGTAGTTCCGCCACTGCCCAGGCGGGTGATCACATGACCACCTGCCAACTTTCCTGCTTCATTACGGCAAATACTGAGAAAAAGATGATCTTGATTTACATTTTCTAATATGATGGATGCCTCCTTCTGATCATTCTTCCCTGTGCACTGACCTTCCATTACCTTATGGTAAATACAGCCCTGTCTGCTGTAAAGTGAGTGCTTATGTATAAAGCTGAAAAAGCTCAAATTA